ATAGTTATGGTTGTGGTGTGATCGAAATCCAGCCAAAGCAGGATTGCATTCTCTGCTGATCTCGAGCTATAGCGAAGCTTGTGCTGTGCTAGGGGATCCGCCTGATTTGCTGTAGATCGAAAATGGCAGACTTTCAAGACACGCTCGTGGATGCAACGATTGCTATCGATCCCCCCAGTGCCGAGCCCGATGCCAAGAGTGCCGGCACTACCGAGAAGCCCGATGCCAACAGTGCCGCTAGAACCGAGAAGCCCGATGCCCACAGTGCCGCTACAGCCGAGAAGCCCGATGCCTACAGTGCCAGCACTACCAAGAAGCCCGATGCCGACAGTACCGGCACTACCAAGAAGCCCGATGCCGACAGTGCCGCCGTGAAGCCCGATGCCGTCATGCAGGAACCAGCAGCCGAGGGTGCCGACTTACCTGAGGCTTTGCAGCAGAAGGCTCGTGGCTTTTATGCAGCTGCCCATGGTTTGGATTTGTCCAGTGTCACGATCCAGCAGGTGGCTTCGTCTACCGAGGGTGTCTACTTCTGGGCGACCAAAGACCAGGATGCCTCGGCTAGGGGTTCTGGTTCTCAGCAGATGAAAAGGGCCATGAAGTGGAGGCCTGACATGGCAGCGGCATATGCTGTCTTAACTGACAGCATGAAACAGGACTTCCGCCGAGGCTGGATGGCGACCAAAAAGTTCGACTTCGTAACAAGCCGCAGAACGTCCACTACATCCTTTCGGAAGAGGCGGGAGGAGGCAGGCAAATTCGTGACGAGGCTCCAGTTGACGAACATCTTGGGCGGCACGCAGGAGCCAGAGGCCATACAGCAGGCCAGCAGATACATCTCCATGTGCACGCAGCCATCCTTGAAGGACGGGGTTTTCTTAACTACACCAATAGTCTCCGTAGTAATAATATACATACATAGAGCCCCCCAATACTTAGTTGAAGCCCCGCTGCCCTAAATCCCAAAAACCCACACCGAACCGCCACGCCAAAACCCTAACCCCTAAAGGCACCAACCCATACCCCGAAGCTTTAGAGGGTAGGGGCTTATAAGGGTTTAAGGTATAGGTTTAGGATTTTGGGTTCACGGTTTTTGTGTGATGGTTATCGAGGAGTATTGCACCCAGTACAACGATTGGCTGGGTGCAGAAACGTACTTTTGGGTGGAAACCTTGATCAGCTCCTGCAACCTGCAAGAATGGACCAACACGGTTACGGTTGAGACTACGGACACTGTCTCCGGTAGCATGGCGGCAAAGGTTACGGCTTGCAAGGCTATGAGGGCCTACGCAGTCCACCACAACAAGCAGCTTCAGGAGGTGACTGAGGAGGCTGTTGCTTCCAGTTCTTTGGGCCTCAAAGGCTGGGCGGAGCTCTACGACGGCATGCCTCAGGAAGCCCAAAAAAGCTTCCCGAAATCTGATGGCTCCAACAACCAGCCCTTCGAAGCCACCGGGAACACTGCTGTTCAAAAGGCCAAGCGAGCCAAAGTCGCCGTGGATCCCGCCGGTGCCGGTGATGCTGTTCCTCCGAGCACGGAAGACGACAAGGCGGGCGGGAAGACCAAGGTGAAGAAGGACCAGACAGCTTCCAAAAAGGAGAAGGAAATCAAGGAGTTCCTTGCAATGGAACAGAGCTCGGATGTGACGATGAGTCGTGTCATGGGCGAGATTGGCAGGAATGCTGCTGGGTGGAGTTGGGCTACCGACCTCATCGGCACCTACAAGCAGCATCGCACGCAGGTCTTGAAATTATACTGTGACAACACTGAGTTCCAATCCCTCAAGATTGCAGCTCTCAGCCCCAAGGAATCCCAGAAGCTGAAGAAGGAATTCGGCGATTCGTATGTCAGCAAGCTGGTGGAGTTTGTCACAGTCCTGGGACCCGCCATCGAGCAGATGTCCCGGTGTGCCTTGCAGGTGCAGGAGATGGCAACGGCGAAGGATGCGGCTTCGAAGAATGCTTCGGCTTCGAAACCCAAGGCTAAGGCCAAATCTAAGAGCAAGCTCCGACGATCCAATTCGACTAAGTCGTTGGCCTCTGTCGCATAGCTTGGCTTCGCAAAGGTGTTTCGTTTCACGGGTTGCAAGCAGCAGGTGTTTGGCCGGGAGTTTGAGGCTGGTCCCTCGAGGCGACTAAAGACTAGAGGTCATGTATTGGTGTTTTAATATTTGGGGTTTTGGGCTTTCGGGTTTGAGCTTTTAGTTTTAAGGCAGAAGCACTAGGGGTTTGGCTTTGGGGCTGAGGTTTTAGGGCTTACGCTTTGGGGTCTCCGATACCTTAACCTATGTTTTTTTTTACACTGGCTTATCCCCCGACCTTTTCACTCCGCTGTGTTGTTTGTTGCGGTGTGTAGCGAACTGGTCCTGACTTTACGCACCCCTCTGTTACTTCGTACATCTACATCATATAAGCCCCTATAGTGATCCTGATACTAGAACCAAACGACTTAGAGCGAGATTTGGTCCAGGTGTTCTCCTCACGCTGAAGTTTAGGGCTCGGTGGTTGGAGGTTCAGGGACGAACTCTGGGGCTTTAGTTACAAGGGCTTGCATAGGATGGCTTCCGATCGAACTTAGCTGCTGCTTGCGGGGTTATCCATTATCTCGCGATAATCGGAGCTAGCTGGGGAGCTTGGCAAAAGGCCGGCGAAACCCTCAACGGCGACTGGGGCTCCTGGTGTAAGAAACATGACAGTCCGTACTGTGCCTTTTCGAGGCAATCCTTTGTGCACGCAGGTCAGTTGGCGAGCTGTTTCGCAGTATGCCGTAGGATCCAAGTGCTGTGTTGCTTGCTGCATGTAGATCCGAGCAGGCTGTGTCAGGCCAATGCAGTTTAGCTTCGAAGATCAATCGTGATAGCAATGACCCTTAACTGCTGCTAGCCCCCAAACCACAAACCCTTAATCCCAACCAAGTTGTCAAGTGGCCTCGCTAAAATCTTAATCCTATAATCCCAACCCAATGATCAACTCCTCGCCTCTTAATTTATGATGTGTTCAGACATGAGATATGTCTCTGAAGCGAGCACGGGCCGAGCTACAAGCTGGAGGCTACGGGCTTTCGGATGATTGGCTCAGGGAAGAAGATCAAGGCGAGATCGATGCTGCAGCTGCTGAGTTTCGTCGATTTCTTTTGGGGAAGTACACCGACGGCTCGTTCACCGCCGCCGACACCTGCCTCCTCGCCTACTACCATACCCAAAGTGGGGGCCGAGGTGCCGAAGACTTCGCTCTGGCTCCAGACCAAGCCTCCACGCATGGATCCCAACATTTGAAGCCCCTCAAGC